GAAAGCAGCTAGTCAACAGCAAACACCGCCACCTCTGGTCGCATAGAGAGAGATTTGACTGTCACTCTTATAACGCACTCACGGCTTAATGTTTGGAGCGCAATTGTGGTAACGGATCACGAACCGTCGGATTCACAGTTTGGCAAGCTAACCACTAGGGAGCGTCTGGCCTCACATAGCGATCCTTTCGAAATAAATTAGGATTCCCCGAAAAAGGTTTACTAAAATTTTATATCATGGAATAACCATTTTTAAAAGTGAAAGAATCTTTGTAGAAACTTGCAAATAATAAAAGTAAAGAGGCCATATGTGGAAAAAGTACTGCATAGAAACAAAATAGGAGCTTGCTAACAGTTAATTGAATACATAAAAATGTATAAAAGGTTTGACAGTAATCGGAGACTATGTCTTGGATAGTTGTAGAATGTGACAGCAAATACTGACGAGAATTGTAAAGTATTAAAATAAAAATGCATTTACATTATCATGGAAAGATCTTACATTTCTCGGCTAAAGGGAAGTAACCCTTACGCCTTTGCTATGTTTGTGTTACTAGAGTTTGTGGTGTGAACTAATTTCATACAGATGTCAGTCATCTGAAGTACTAGTTATATTTGTGAGTAATCACTTTAAGTGCCAAGAAATATACTGACTTTGTAAAGCATCTTGTCTTTAGAGTAACTACTAAACCAGCTGATTGGCACAGATTTTTATAACTGAAGTTACAACCTTATTAGCTGGTTACTCTTGTAATTGTCACCTTTTTTAAACACAATAATACATAATGGATTATCTGTGTCCAGGAATCTAATCTCGGATTTTCGCGTAGTAACTCTGAAACTTACAACTGACCACTGGTATAACATCCTAAATCTTATGAAGATCACGGAAAAAATTCTGCCCTAGAAGTTACATTTTATAACATAACCAGTGAAAGAGCTTATCTCCTGTTTCACAGGATAGTTATATACTGTTCTGCTTGGCCTTGCGACTGTTACATAGACCAGAAATGTTTACGTATTCCGGTGCCCGTTTTCTAATTGGTCAGATATAGAGCGAACGTGTATTGTGAATGCAATTTTGGTGTTTCCATATCAGATTCATTTTGACCTCTGGGGAGAAAAGTATCGTTTTTTTTTGTCTGAGATGGCCAGAACCCTCTAGGAAATCCTGTTGCAGTGTATTTTACTTTACAAGTGCCTTCTTACTGTGTATTATTCAAACCCATCATGTCTTAGTCTTCCATTTAAATACAGTGTAACTTCGCTGTTTAGTTATCATTTGTAACTTAGATATCCTGAATTAGCTTTACTATTATCTCGATCAGCCAGTTTGTTTCTTAAGTAATAATATGTAACTTGAATTTTTTAATTTCACGCCATCTTATCTCTTTCGTTTCACCTGTCACTGCAATTGTTCTTCTACGTATTAGAACCACGAACTTCTCGGTTTTGCGTAGTTTAGATGACTGTTCGCAGTATAATCTGGAATTACTTTATTAAGATATAAAAATTGAATAAAATCAAGTGTTCAAAATAATGAATACAAATATCTTTTTAAAGTAAATGGGATTAATTTTTAACTGTGTTTTGAGAACAAAATTTAATAATGAGCAATGTTTCTGGTATGCATTTGCATCATTAATGGCGTCGAAAAATTTTAACCCTAACAAATATTATTTTAAAGGACATATTTTATGTTCACGGTGATATATTTTTATAGTATCAAGAAATTACAATGACCTGCGAATTTAAACTTCATAAAAGTTGCTTTGGTTTTAATAACGGATTTTTCCATAATTCAGCTACTCAGATTGCGAAAATAATATTAATTTTATTCTAACACGTAAGGATTGTTTACAAACCGGGAAAAAGAAAAAAAAACTCTTACTTAGATCAAATTCTTATTTCGTTTACCACATGAATTTTTTATTATTATATTTGTTAACAAAAATACAAACAAACTGGAGAAAAGGGGAGATCATTGATGTCAAAAGAATATGCATCCTCATTTTTTTGTGAAATCTACGTTTTTTTTATAATCAAAACTACGTGATGTGGTCTTTCTTTCATGTATTGCGTTATGACATTTTGTGGAAAATCTGTACGTGGTGGAGAAAAATAGATTTCATTTTCGGATTCAGCATACAGGAATTACTGAAGAACATGTAAACGTTTCAAGACAATAAAACCATCGCAGGCATGTGTTATCAATCAATTTGATTTCTCACAACTTCTGATAAATTTCGATGTCAGGTTGTTTTTATACCTACATTTGGTTTTGATATATTTTAAGATACAGATCAACGTAATTTACTACCACTTTTCAGTGCCGAAGGATAATTTAATTGGACATTTTAAGAAATATTCTTAGAAAATGTGATGATTTCCACCTACTCGGAATTCTGGTTTACACAAGCAATTGTCTCCAAACTATCACATGTTGATTGTGTACTTCTTTAAGATGTCATAGAAATATTAGGATCGACGTTTTTTGTCATAGCATTACTTTATTTTTCTTAGCTTTATCACGAGCAAACTCATGCCACAAAATTTATTACATTGATAAATAATTTGATATTAAATTATTGTTTAATAGGTATCTATCTTTCCTAGGCACACGATTTAGTACATTCTTTGGTTACATCCTTCGTCACATTAGCCGAATAAAGTACACATCTTGAGGTAGACCCATTCTTACACAGACAACGAATTTTTGGAATCTCATATTGTTTGCCATAAAATCAAGTGTTCAAAATAATGAATACAAATATCTTTTTAAAGTAAATGGGATTAATTTTTAATTGTGTTTTGAGAACAAAATTTAATAATGAACAATGTCTCTGGTATGCACTTGCATCATTAATGGCGTCGAATACTCTAGAAGACAATAAAACGCAAAACACCATGATTAATCAGTTTATTAAAACAGATGCAAGTCGCACAGGAAGATCGGGACCAGCCCATTTAATACTTCTGTGTATCTACTCAAAATGTCTTTATGTTAAGCTCGGGAACAATACCTTAGTTATTCAATAATGTTGAAAGTGGTGCAGGAGTACCTAATTGACTTAATACCGTTAATTGTTGTGCAGGAGTTCCCTTTCATATCTACTCAAGATTAATGAACGTTGTGCAGGAGTATTGTTGGACATTGTCAGGATTATCTTACGTATTTTTATACAGTTATAATTGAAGATGTGCAGAAGTAATATCCATATCAATGAGCGTTGTGCAGGAGTATTGTTGGACATTGTCAGGATTACCTTACATATCAACTCTAAATTGAAAGTGTGCAGAAGTAATATCCATATCTATTTAAGAATGTTGAACATTATTTTACAAGTTACAGCTTTTGCAGTAAGGAAAAATATGCTGTAACTTGCAGTAAAATATTTATAATCAGTAAGTAAACTGAAAACGAAACTATAATGTTGAACATTGTTCAGGGGTAACATCTATGTCTAGTCAAGATTTTTTAAGCGTTGTTCAGGAGTAACATCTATATCTAGTCAAGATTTTTGAACGTTGTTCAGGGGTAACATCTATATCTATTCAAGTTTTATGAACGTTGCTCAGTGGTAACATATGTATCTAGTCAAGATTTTTGAACGTTATTCAGAAGTAACATCTATACCTATTCAAGATTTTTGAACGTTGTTCAGGAGTAGTATTTATATCTTATCAAGATTTTTGAACGTTGTTCAGGAGTAGCATTTATGTCTTATCAAGATTTTTGAACGTTGTTCAGGAGTAGCATTTATGTCTTATCAAGATTTTTGAACGTTGTTCAGGAGTACTTTTATGTATGTATTCAAGATTATTGTAGGAAAACCTAAATGGCTTATCTAATGAAGATCGTTTACTCAAGATTACTATATGACTTGCAGGAATATCCAAATGAACATCGTTTCATGTTACGACGTTGAAGAGTATGCTTTGAGCAGCTACACAAAAATGTTACATGTCCATCACAATTAGAGTTGATAGGCTACTCCATATCATTATACATTCCGATAATCTCTATACTAAAAGGTAGTGTTTTATACAAAAGGACCGTTACCAAATTACTACAATATACCATGTTCTATAGGAAATTTGAGGTCTTCCTATAAAATCTTGCATGTTTTGCAAGGGGGCGTGTGATATTATTTTTGGAATGATAACACTGAGAGTAAGGCTATTCCAAATTCTAAATAACTTGTGTGTTTAAAAACAATTAATATTAAACAACTTTCAACTTTTCAAAACGAAACGAAGAGCCTTTACGTTTACAGCAACAATAGCATACATATAGTATTGCCTCATAATAAAGGATCATTTACAAATAATTTCTACTATGAGCACTTGTAAGATTATGTCATATAAATTATTATGTATTTGTTTCCATGATTAAAGGTGCATCTCAAATAAAAGTAGTTAATTTTTATGTATGAATCCAGAATTAAAAGTGCATCTCAAGTGAAAGTAGTTAATTTTCATGTATGAGTCCAGGATTAAAGGTACATTTCAAATGAAAGTAGGTCATTTTTATGTATGAATCCAGAATTAAAAGTGCATCTCAAATGAAGGTTAAAATATTTCTTAATGGTGTGTTTTGTTTTGAATTTCACTCAAAGCTACACAAGGGCTATTTGTGCTAGCCATCCCTAATTTAGCAATGAAAGACTAGAGGGAAAGCAGCTAGTCATCACCTCCAACTCTTGGGCTACGCTTTTACCAACAAATAGTGGGATTGCCCATCACATTATAATGGTCCCATGGCTATAAGGGCAAGCATCTTTGGTGGGATGGGGATTCGAACCCGTAACCTGCAGATTGCAAGTTGAGTGCCCTAACCACCTGGCCATGCCAAACCTATTTCTTAAAGATAGATAGTGCAAAACAATGAATAAAATGTAAGATGTTAACTTAAAGCATGTTATTAGTGAATCTTTAAACAAAAGTCTAGTTTTTACAACTTCTGCTGTAAATGAAATAATATAAGCGTTGTTTCTTTTGGAACACTACTTTTATTTCTTACAGAGAATCCATAAATCGTCTAGTTAAAGAGCAACCACATAAGAATGACTGGTCAATAAAAAAGTTACAACCCTACATATGGTGTGCCATTTTCAGTAGAAAATATTGGCACTAACAACAAAACACTAGTTTTTGTAAACTAACAAATAACTTTTATCTGTGCTAAAAACAAACATACACAAACTAAACTTTTTCGAATGTAAGAAATGCCATTTTGTGGCATATTAAATAACAAGAAACTTGAGGGCAAAATGCCTCGGCTCCACATGAATACAACACTAGTTATTCAGGTAATAAATGTTTGTTACACACAAATAAATTACAAGAAAAACCCTAACATAAGAATATTATGTAAACACTGTAAAAATCAACACAAACTAAAACTACTGCTACATAACAAAAGAAACTGAAGAAAATAATTACAGATAATTAGTTTAATGCTAATATATGTATATGGAAATAAGCAAGGTGCAATTCAGCATTAATATCACAACATTTAAAGTATATAGACCTTTACTGAACAACCAAATAATAGAAACCGGTACAGGCTGACACAAGGGTAACATACCTGCATATCACATTGCTTGTAATGGACATTTTGATATCTTACTTATGAAAACAACCAGAAGTTCACATGAACTGCAATGAAACATTAAGGAAACATAGAAATACATATTACATATATATCTATATTCAAACATATCCAACACATCCTACTGACAATTCTGGATAAAATGGAAACTACAAGAATGGTTAATTTAACTATTCATAAAAGTTACCGCTAACATAAAATCAACATAAGTATTGTACTTTTTTCCCTTAAAAAGTCAGATTTTGTCCGAGTACGAGTTTTTCAAAACTCCTATATAAATTTCAGTATTTTGTGGACACCAGTAATTCATGAAAAACTAGTGGCAAATGTGCTATGTTAAATAATAATAATGAAAAAAAAAAAAGGCATTCAAAATGCTTACCTAAATAAGGTGTATTCAGGTCAGAAAAACATGAAACTTTATACAGCTATTTGTTTATGAATAAATGTTACTCAACAAAATTTAGTATCATCAGGAAACTGATGAAATGAATAATATTATGCAAAGTGATCTACTGATTAATATTTCTCTAAACCTATTATATCTTAACACTGAATTTCCCAACATTTCAACTTTTGTGAACGTTTTTTGAGGAATTATATATAAATTTTATTCTAGCAAATTTTAAGATATTACAGCTTTTTTGATTAGTACACATACTACTATAAAACATTAGTTGTGTATGAGTATACTATTTTGCACCAGTACTAAAAATGCTTACTTTAAATGTATTAAGTGAGTAACCGCTGTTGATAGGCTAGTCATTGTACATCTGATTCTGTTAAGATACATTTACATTTGGTGTCTTTACATACACATGGAAATCATTCTGTGAGTTTAAGCCAGCTGATATACAGCTTAGATGGTGACTAGGGTTGACTCTGGTTCTAGAAACACTGAAAGAACAACATTTACGGGAAACATTCACCGCAGGTCACTTATATTTGCCTTTGAACCAAAGATTTTGATAAGCTGCTCATCATATTCTTCTATGTTGCGCTTCATAATGTTCATACAAGGACCTAACAATCGTTCGAAGGCAAGCACGTCCAAAACTGAAAATAAATTTATTATTGTAAGTTGAAATTATTGTTACAAAAGCCTGAAGGACTACAGTACCTTACGTACTTCCTTTTCTTTTTTTTTATCAACTGTTATACATTTTTAAGTAATTATTTTAAAATAATTTTGAATTCTAAAATCTTTTAAAACACATTAATATATAAACATGCAAATTTTAGTATATTTTCTGATACTTGTACTTTTCAGATTACACTCTTGATCAAGATTATTTTAACTCAAAAGAAGACAATGTTATTGGACATTATGTTCTTTCAAACACCCTTACTTGTACTTTTCAGATTACACTCTTGATCAAGATTTTTTTAACTCAAAAGAAGACAATGTTATTGGACATCATGTTTGTTCAAACACCCTTACTTGTACTTTTAAGATTACACTCGTGATGAAGATCTTTTTTTAAGCTCAAACGAAGACATCATGTTTTTTCAATTATAAAGTGGAAATTTAAAACATCAGTGAAGAAACTAATGGAGTTTAAAACTCTGAAAAACTTAATAAACCTATGAGTTCCTTAAACCTGAGTAGATGCTGACAGTGTCCAGCCAAAAATCTTGATTTACCCATCAGACAGTGATAACATTTAATTCTCTTTGGCTGATAAATAATTAAAACCATGTTATTACCCACAAAATGAAATTTTATAAGGTATGGTGATAACTATTAGGAAATCGTGAAAATAATTCTGGCAGAACGTGTAAAAAATTACAGGTTTAAAAAGTTAATCACTATGCAGATGACAATGGATGAGTTGATGAAACATGAATTGTTTTTGATAGAAATTTTAAAATACTGAACTGGCTCCAACTGTTTTTTTTATAAAGTTTCACAAAATTGGATAAATACTCTCAGTTAGTAAGAAACAATTCAACTGCAGACCTTGCATAGTAAAATATATATATATATATATATATATTAGTTTTAACAAACTAATATGTATGCCAATAAAGTTAGTACTGGTGTATTAATTATATGTAGCTTGATAGCAAGTTGTTAAGACAAGTAAAAGTTTTTAGTATAACAGGTAATGTGTATTTTTGGCTTCACAAATTACAAAAATTGAATTTATAATTTTTACAAACCTTCTTAGATATTTTTAGTGATCCAATTAAATCTATACACATGCTTCTCAAGTTCTTGGACTATACATATCTATATGTTATGTTTGTGATAACTTACATCATGTTAGAAATGCACAATCTTTTTCACAATGAAAACTTGAGAATAGCAATCCTTAAATTTCATAATAATTAAAAAAACAAGTTAATCTTAACAAGTCCCTTTCTTTAATATCAGTTTCTAAAGCTGGTTATGTTACAATACCTAAAATCTTACTGAATCTTTTTTTTTTCACATGTCGCTGAAAAAACAAGTTTAATGGTGTTTAATGCCAAAAGTAGTGAACACAATATATCTGTTACTTACATGCTAATTTCACATTTTTTCCTACTGCATAAGCAGAAGCTGCTCGAGGCTTATGTGTAACAAGAGCCAATTCTGTAAATATGAATTATTTTGTTAAAAAAAAAAAAAAAAAAAAAAGAAAAGTAGCAAAAAAAAATTGAATATAAAGTCGAGTTTGTTGAGATAATTAATAAAAAGGTGTAATAACAATAACATTCCATCAGTTTGTAGCTTGCAAGACAAGAAACATTCAACATTAGCATACAATTTGGAAAACATGTTAAATACGGCTCAGAAAGAAAACTTACATTTTATTAATTTCATAATTTTTGAGAAATATACCGTAAGCAAAATTAGGTATTGAATGATATCAACAGAGGAAATAATATATATTTTTCTTTTCTTTTTAACGGTAAAGTTTAAGTTTTCATTAAATCCTTAAAATTTATCATAAAAAAGTATTTTAAAAAAACAATTCAAAAATGTTTCAGTGAAATACTTTTTTTAAATTCTCTAAGCTTATGAAAATTCCTTTCCACACAGACATTTCTGGAAAGGGAGTGAACAACTTCGATCATAATAAATTTTTTTTTTGGTCTTACCACCAAAATATTGGCCTTTACTCAACTTCAATAGTTCCTTTTCTTCTCCAGACTGAGAAGCAGAAAAAAAATGTTGGAAATTATAACATTTTTGAGCTATAATATTTACATTTTGTCAGTTTTTAATATCATCAACAGAAAATGTTATGTAAAATTAGTTTTCTGTTATATTAGCAGGTAATATGTTATGACGAAAAACCTATATTTTTAATATAATCAAGTTATAACACATAACGTGAAAAACATATCACACTCTACATCCTATATGATATAGCATGAAACTACACTTGGCTGATCAATTCAAATACTGATTTAATCTGAGCATATATATACACATAATACTAGAAAAAAAATAAAGCAATTAATAAATAAATATAAATGATTCACTAAAGAGATATTTGATTTAACAGCTTCAGTTATTTTAAAAAGTTTTAAGTACTAATGCTCATATCTCAAATGAACATAATGAATTCAAAATAATATACTTAATCTGATAAAATAGATTAAACCATTAGGACTCTTAATGTGAGTTTTGTCACATAAAAAATATCTGCAATGGATAGGATAACATTTCAAAGCCATTTAGGTTATCCACATCAGTGTGGCTAAGAGTATAATGAATCAACACATATAACTACAAGTGAACCATCTTTCGCTGGTCATAGAAATACAAATTAAATATAAGTCTAAAACAACTTTAACATGAAAGTTATGTAACACACTGTATACATAAACCAGTTCTTACCTCATTTGTCATCACAATTCGAACAGTGCCATTCTCAACAAAGTACATTCCATCACCTTCTTCACCCTATATATTATATATATATATAAAGAAATAATGTATGTCAAAATGTGAGAAAGCTAGACCACTTTTACATGTATGTAGATTAAAAAGTACTCTCAAAGTTATAATTACAGGTCTACAGATATGAAGATACTATATATTTTGTATCATTATGATTTAGGGCAAAATATCCAAGTTTTTGTTGTTTTTGTACTTATTTTTATGTAGGTTTAAAGTTATTTAATTCCTAAGAATTAGTTGAGAATTTAGTGACTCAAGTTTCAAGTCAACAAGTTGTATTTTCATAAAGCACAATAATTTAGCTTTATTATGAGATAAGGTCCAAATAATATGTGGTATCATTAAACTCACATTCTACCTTTCCACATGTGGCAAAAACAAAAACCAGTTTTAAAATACGATATTTACAAAGAAAGACTAGCTCTAAGAATAGATTTGTTTGTATGTTTGGATATTTGCACAAAGCTACATAATGGCCATTCCTAATTTGGAACTGAAAGACTAAAGGGATGGCAGCTAGCCAACAGCACCCACTACAAGCTTTTGGGCTACCCTAATTGAATAATGCACCCATAGCTACAGTATGAAGAATAATTAACTTGGAGTAGAATATGGGCCATGAACCCTTTGAATTTATGTTAACTACCTGGCCATTCCCAGTACTTTAAGAATAGGAGATGGATCAACGTTAAAGATCCTGTGAAAATGAGTCAATGTTCGGAATTATCAAACTGTAATTATGTACATGGAATCAGTCATTAAAGTCTTTGAACATTAGCTTTTAAAGAGCTATTAACTTTTACTATGCCAGGTGTATGAAAATCCAAACCACAATTCTATACTTAGATGTATTTTATACATACAGAATGAAGTTCCACCAATATTTCTTTGATACCAATCTTATAGTGGATATATTTTATTATAAGACCACTTTCAGGCACTACATGAAAAAAAAAGAGAGAAGGGTATCATTTATATTTTATGTACAATGATTTTAGTGTGTCTGTGACAGCCATTAGAGACATAATACATTGATCTAACGTGTTGCCAAACAAGCTAAACATAGCATAGTTTTCTATCACATGATCCAAGTCAAAATTTCAAATATGCATGGAATTGATGCATTATGGCTATGTACATTGGCAATAGGGAGAGTCACAATGTATTAACCTAACGTGTTGTGAAGGATAATTACAGGTTGAAACGATTCAATACGTCATGGCTTGCCATATATGTCTAACACACATATTGGAAAAATGGGATAAGGAGAGAAGTTGCTAGTCTACTGAATACGAAACATAAAGTGCTTGAATGTGCATGGAAGACTTCTGATCAGCATAGAGATTTTGCAAGTTTTATTTTTAATGTATCATTAACTGTTTAGCATGTTAGCTAGGCTATTGAATAATGTATTCAAACTAAGCTGAAAACAGACAAGTAATTTATTAGTAGATAAAAGAAAATCAAAGCAAGATAACAAAGGTAAAAAATGATGAAATGAAAATTTAAGTTCATATGTTTGTATTTTTGAAACATTAATGATAATTCTTCATTTTTATCCTCAATAAATGTGAACTTTGTGTGAATCTTTTATGTGCAAACTCTTCTTTCAATATTATGCATTTTATGATTTTATTACACAACAATATACAGATTTCTTTTTCAATCATTTAATATACTGATTGTTTTTAATATTTGTATTTCTTAACAACAACAACAAAATTATTTTTATGTAGTTGCTTGTGACTGAGTTGCTGGAGTCCATGTTTAATTTTTTTTTTCTAATGTAAAATATGTGTATTAGACACTGTGGGGGAAAAACACAATAAAGAAATATATGGGGTTGTAAAAGCTATTAGAACATAACTATGTGAACTACTAGCAAAAAAAAAAAGATGAAGATTGAAGAAAATTTAAATCAGTCTAAACATTTGCAAATAATGTGTATTCCATGAGAAAAGCAAATAAAATGGTTGATACTTTATGACTGTTAGGTTGCAGTTGTGTATTTGATAGCTTAATTAGGTATAAAAGAAACTATTCACTGTAATGGCTGGAGACGGCTTAAATGGGTAATGAAGAATAACTTTAATATAAGTTTAACATGACAGCAAATGTACAACGTTTCGACTTATATTAAAGTTATTCTTCATTACCCATTTAAGCCGTCTCCAGCCATTATTAATAAATTGTAATATTTTATGTTGTTTTTAATAAGCTGAACTTTATTCACCTGGTACGTGAATTTGGGATTAACTCAACAATAAATTGTAATATTTTTATGTTGTTTTTAATAAGCTGAACTTTATTCACCTGGTAC